CTGGTCCCACTCGGTCCCCCCCCTCCCCCGTGTTGTATGTTTGTGTACAGGACCACCCCTGAAGTAGGGTCCTCCTCCATGTATTGTAACCAGCGGTCTGTGTCCTGGCCCCTTGGGGGGTGAGAGAGAGAGCGCGCGCGCGCGCGCTTGTGTTGTGTTAACCTGTGGAACTCCCTGCCGGGGGAGGCTGTGAGGCTTTGGGCTAATCAATGGTGTTTGACAGGGAGCATGATGAATCCCCACAAAGTGCCGGGGAGCACATCTGGCAGACGTGGTCTGGGCTCTCAGATCCCCATCACATGGGATGTCTCCTGGACGGAACCCAGAGAGTGACTAGGGAGTGTACCATCCTTGCAGCAAAACTCAGGTGGCCCTAGGGCCAGCCCGAGCGCTTCCGCCCTCCCCCTCCAGCTAGCCCTCACACACGGTAGCCCAGGGACATGTGGCTGCAGTGAAGACTTCCCTTCGGGGGGCCAGCCAAGGCACCGGGAGCAGGCAAGGGGCTCAGTGGGGGCCACACTCACAGGGCTGTCATGCTGCGGTTTTCCCAGGAGCAGCTGGCTGTGCCTCACAGCCAGGCATGGAACAATGTGCCGTTCTGTGTGCTGCACCTTTGCGGAGGTGTGGGCTCTGGCCTGAGCCCCTGGGGCCCTGGCTGGTTCTGGCCGGCATCCACCCTTCCCCTCTGGTCCCACTGAATGTGTGTGAGCAGCACAGTCCCATGCATGCCCTGGAGCTGCATGCCGCGGCCACGTGCCGTTCGGTCACCAGGCTGCACGTGGTTGCACGTGCTGCATACTGCTAATACTACACAGCGTGCAGCTCACGTGGCCTGAGTGACGCATTCTCTCTCTCCTCCTTCCCCCTCCGGGCGCTTGACTCCCACCCGCCCTTGTGAGTGCAAAGTGCAACACTCACTGGTGGATCCTTCCCTGGCCTCCGAGGACGCACAGGAGACATCGGGGCTACCGGAGGGGGCCTCCGCCTGGAGGGCTGCAGTGCTGCCCTCGTCCTCCAACCCCCTGGCTGGCTCATCTTCCTCCCCCGCCTCGTTGGTCCTGGTGACGGGGGGGCGCCTGCAGGTGTCCACAGGGACGGACGGTCCATGGGGTGCTGCCTGGCCCAGGATCCGGTGGAGCTGCTGGTAGTGGGGGCACCTGTTGGCTCCTGCCCTCTGGCCCTCACTGGCCTGGACATAGCCCAGGAGCAGCTCTTTCACCTTAGCCCAGAGTTGCTCGAGGGTGCGGGCTGGATGTCCCTGGTGTCAGAGCGCCTGGGCCATGCGGTCAAAGATATCCACATTGCGGCGACGGGAGCGGGTGTCGTGGAAGGGCCTCCAGCTCCCCTGCGGACCAGGATGGGGCCCTTCATTTTCGGCCCCTTGGGGCCTCCTGCGCTGGGGGTGCGGGTGGCTGTTCCCCCCCAGAGAAGCCATCCTGGGCTGGTGGCTGTTGGGGGAGGCAGCAGAGCCGCGTGGCAGAGCTCTGGGCAGAGGCAGCAAAAAAGGCTTCTGCCTCGTGGCCTCTGCAGGCTGCATCTGCCTTTAAGGGGGCTCGGGTTACCAGGAAGTCCGGAGCTGCCTGCAGGTACGGAGCATCCAAGCGGCCACTAGGGCTTTTTTCCGTTTAGGCTGCTTTTGCACAAAATGTCTTGGCCGCCTGTCTACACTGGCCTCTTGTGCAAGAACACTTGCGCAAGAGGGCTTATTCCTGAGCGGGAGCATCAGAGTATTTGTGCAAGAAGCACTGATTTCTTACATTAGAATGTCAGTGTTCTTGCGCAAAAACTCACGGCCAGTGTAGACAGGCAGCAAGTTTTTGCGCAAAAGTGACTGCTTTTGTGCAAAATCTTGCCAATGTAGACACAGCCAAGGGGTTTTTACTGAAGTACAGGTTGTACCTCTCTAGTCTGGCACTCTCTGATCTGGCAACATTGATAGCCCAGCATGATTTTAGTGAGCCAGGTATCTGCTTATCATGAGTGTGACCAAGTTTCCTGTCGTCCCATAAAGTTTACAGTCACCAGTCCTTTCTCTCACTGTTCTGCGCTATTATTTAGCTCTAATTTACCCCTCAATGTCTTCTAAGAGCCCAGTAAGTAGTGGAATTGTGGGTAATGCTGCTAGACAATATTGATCTCCCGTGATTTGGCAAATGCTCTGGTATGGCACCGGTTAGGACCCCAGGGTGCCAGACTTGAAAGGTTCAACTTGTATAGACAATCTTTTAAAACTACTCAAGATTCTGCTGTCCTGGCTTTCAACTCAAATATTCAACACATACATATGTGTTTTACTCATCTACTGAGCAGTCAGTTAAGTAGCATGCAATCAAATGTGCAGTAGCTCAAACTGTAGTTTGAGAGTCCTAGAGAATTGACTGGTTGGCTGCACCTTATTTTCAACTTCTAAATTTAATTAAAAGATAGCTAAACTATAACAAACACTTTTCAGTCTGACTTATGCATATGAAGCAATTATCTAATTGCTACAAGAATATTATGATTCCAAAGGGAAGGGAAGGTAACGTGCAATTAAAGATTGAAGAGCAAGTGGTCAATGAGGCAGTATCTGCATTAAATGGTACTTCACACTATGAAACACTCTGAGAAATTATCATTTGGAATATACAATGTGCAATATTGATTTTTCCATTAGTGTTGAATTTTTAAAATTCCACTTTAAGATTTGGCCTAACATACTGACTATTTTAGCACAAAGTATCACAGAGAGGAGGAACAAGAGGTGAGAGTTTTGACAAGGTGGGTCTATTTTCATCAACACAGTTAATCATTAAACTGCTTTGATGCAGTGGAACGCAAAGGTGTTCTTTTAAGAAGCAATGTTCTACTTGGAATGTCAATATGTACCAGGTTACACTGGGCAGCAGTGCAGGTGCTTTTTGCCATCAGTACCTGGTACGTTTAACACTGAATTAATCAATAGGAAAGCACAGAATCATAGAACTGTAGGACTGGAAGGGAGCCAAAGAGGTCTTCTAGTCCAGTCACCGTATAAATAAAAAGAAATCCCAAGATAAAAGACTGTGGCTTTAAGTCTCTGCCAGTTCTGTGTGGATAAGAAGAATGAAACAAGGCTTTTCATTGGTAGAAGCTCTCTCAGGTAGATAAAGACTCCGAGAACTCAGGAAACGTACACAGAAATAGTCACTACTGCATCATTTTCCAAGATGCAGCATGCTCTCTGCCCAGAATTCTGCCCACCAAATCTGTACTGTTCATGTGGAATCTAGTACCATTGTTCATGCTAGATTGCCATGATCCTTATGCACCAGAAATGAAAGGGCAAGAATTGTTCTTACTGTGCCAGAAGCACCCTATAATAAGTGTAACTCTTGCACTTCCACTGCAGTCATATTCAATTTGTCAGATTTGGAATGCAGCAATTTTGATCAAGATTTCAGCATTAGGATTTTGTAATAGAAAAGATACTTAAAAGATATCGCCTCCTGTAGGGGATACACTAACAAATCTGACTGATTCTCTAAGTAATATGAGTCTAGTTCATAAACCAATGTTAGCGAAGTCTGGGGAGATTCTAGCAAAACTCACACACAACTCAAAATACAGGCAGTCCCCGGGTTACTTACAAGATAGGGACTGTAGGTTTGTTCTTAAGTTGAATTTGTATGTAAGTCGGAACTGGTACATATTGTAGGGGAAACACTAGCCAAACATTTCTCCAGAGCTCAGTTTTATTCTCCCACACCTCACTTCCCTCAGTCCTTTATTCTCAAGCTGAAGTGTCTGCTGAGAAAAGCCGCTCCG